CTACATGCATCTGCTTGGCTTCAATGTACTGTTTTATGCATTCAGTCAGTCACTTAGTCCCCTATTCCCTGAAAAGACGAACTGCTCCCTGCGCAAATAAATTGTTCATTTGTCTCTTCTTCCTTTTGTTTTGTTTGGGTAACACATGTCAGCAGCTCAATTACCCAGTTCATTAACAGCTCCCAAAGGAAGGAATGGCAATTCTTTGATAAGGGCTGTAATTGGTGCACATATGGCCCATACTGGACTTCGTATACTCCTCTGAGTCTAAGCAAAGAAGCCTCCATGGTTATTTTCCCTTTTCTTGCAAGAGATATTCCATTAAAGTAAAGATATTTAGTTCCCTTAAAAAGTTTCATGAAGTCCACAAAACTCTTTGAGGAATGCTCAGTCTGTACCCTAGCACAATTATTTAAAAGACTGTGTGGAACCTTATATTGTAATGAATTGTGAATTAGAAGACAGCATTTCTGTGTGGACATACCTGAATAAGATTATAGGGTAGGCTTTTTGGTGGTTAGCAGGCCCCAGTTTTTAGTTTAGTTCTCTGTTTATAAAGGCATTACCTATTTTGTATTTATTTTTTCACAGCCGTTTGTCTGTAAAATGTTTTAGTCTTTTGTTGTGTTAACATCTGCCGCTAACAGGGGGTCTATGTGACTGGCATATGAATGGTGAACTTAAACGTATATAAATACCTTTCATTGGTTAAATAAAATGTTTAGGGAGTGTCTGAAAAGTATCTAAAAGTCTGATCTACTTAGTTGCTTATGCTGTATTTTAAATCTACATACACATATAATTACATTTAATTAATTTGGAATGTAAATATACATGTTTCTATTAATCTGGCTAAACTTCAAACTAAGCAGATCCTTTTCTTCTGCTGAATGGGTAGAAAATCAATACATTTTATTTAAATATACAAGGAGGCTTTGTTCTTTAGTTAGCCCATTTTGATGTGAAAAAGGCAACCAAAAATACGTTTTGGATTTTTTTTCAAACTTTAAAAATAAAAAAAATGGATGCAGTGCCCTGAATTTTAAAGTTTTACATGTTTACCACTTTAATATAACACTGTTATTCTGCGTTTTCTTTAGAGAGTACCACAGTTTTATTTCTTTTGGTGCAGTTCACAGATTTCCACAGGTTTTGACTGTGGACTTTTCCTCTGCATAGCTTGTGTCACATGTAACAAGCATTTTTTTTGGGGGGGGGTGATTTAAGAAAAAAACAGTGTAGCACTTTTCCTTTCCCTCCTGACACCAAGGCCCTGCTTTGTGCCGCTAGCAAGAGGCTTATTAAATCATTAGTCCTCACCGGTTGGAAGGCGCGCGTGGGGAGTTGTAGAGTGTCAGAGTTTATTTGCACCATTTTGGTAGGCAGAGAGCTGTCAGAGCAAGGGCTTTCCTGTTAGTGGCCCCTCGCAGAGAGACAAAGATGCCCAGGGGGAAGGGCATGTGAAAAGACGCTGCTCTGCTGTGGAAGCAAGCAGGGGGTACAGAGCAGACTTCCCCGCCTCAGGTACGCAGGAGTAAGGGGACTCCAGCTCGGACACGCTCACTTTGCAACTGTCCTCCCGGACTGGTGCTGTTTCAGGCGTGATCCCAGGCATGCTGTGCTCTATCACCACTTAATGTGAGGGTTGAGCTATTCCCACACAATCCCCATTGAAAAAATAAACGGTACACGTATTTCTCAACCACTGTTTTCTTGTCGGGCGTTCCGAACCGGGCTGCTTTTGACTTTGTCGGTTTTCTGTTCCCCCCCCACCCCCCACCCCCCCCTCCGGACGGTTGAAAACACCTCCCGTTTTTCGTTCGGGCCTGCAATTTCTTCCCAACCATTTTTGTCCTTCGACAATGCCGGTGTCGGGCCGGGCTCCTGGTTGAATATACAGAGGAGTGTGGGGGGAAGAGTTTCAGGTGATCCCAGGCTCTGCATACAAGGAAGGTTGGATTAACCCCCGCTGTGCGTCCATCCCCAGCCCCCAGCTTCTCCACTCCAGCCTTCTTTGTGTCTCCAGCACCCTACCAGGCAGGTGTCAGAGCCCTGAATGCGGGCAAAGGCCCTGTTGATGGATACCACAGATGGAGCGTGCAAATTGGCAGAATAGGCTTGAGCCACAGGCTGCTTCTTAGAGCTCAACAAAGGCAGCCAAATAAGTCAACAAAAAAATCCCAAGGATCACAAAAGTAAAGTGTCATTTGCCATTAACTCTGAGTCCATGATGGAGTATCAGAGTTACTTAAAACCCTGCCTGGCCTGCAAGCCAGTAAACATGATACAGTAGTTCAGGATCTTTTTCAGTTTACAGGGCTTGTTTTTCTTAATTCTATTTTTTTTCTTACTGTTTGTGCTTTCGCAAAACAGGGAAGTTGCCCGGCTGTTGCCCGTCAAAACTCGGACATTTGCTTTTTTTTCAGCAGGGGTATTTTGTTTTCGATTTTTTTACAAAAGGCGCTTAGCTTTTTTTTTTAACACAGCTTCAAAGGGAACAAAGAAAAACAGGTTTGTTTGAGGGCTGAGGGATGATAAGGTTCATCATCTTCATTTTCAGTTGTTTTTTCCCAATCATAACAAAAGAATAGTTTGTTTTATTAAAAATAAGAGTTCCAGAATCACACATGAGAGTTAATAAGCTTCACAGAGACTTGTTGCAGTTTTGGACTTTATCTTATGGTTCTTAAGCCTGCATAACATATCTTGTTACAAATGAATTTGGTTAATAAGTTAGCTGTTCAGCAGTTTCACTCCTTCCCATCCCCGGTCGTAATGTAATAAAGAATACTGCTGGAGTCTGTGAAAATTATAGAATTCCCTCTGTCCAAATCCCTATGAAATCAGCCCAAAATGCTCATAACCCACAGCGTTAACTAGGAAAAGCATTTCCTGAGGTCGCCAGGGGTCGAGTACAAAGAGGGATTCCCAATTCAGTAATTCTTTTTTTTAATTAAAATTTGTTCTGGAGCTATCTGTTGCTGCGGTTCCTGATTTTCCATGCCCTCTTTTCATTTCTTTTTCATTCCTGCAGGATGATTTGACATCCTGGTCAGCATTATTGCCTCGTTACCTTGTTTTTTTATTCTTCTGCGAGTGGATATCAGTCATTTTCACCTACGGCAATGAAAATCTCATGGTAAAAATGACTGGATTCTTCCCAGTAAAAGTATCATGGAATGACGTTTGCAAAGTTGTTCACATTTTATAGCCGAGTTCTCATAACATCACACAACGTTGGAATCAGATTAAGGACTATGTTAAAATGTATGCTACTATTGAAAGAAGTACCATTAAAGTTTCCAAATTTAAAATAAGGAATAAATCCCAATATTTGTAATGAACTCTGGGCGAAACTCTGGGATTTCCTGGGAGTTTAAACCTAGCACATGTCAAAAAAAGAAATAAAAATGAGTGACGATGAAAAAGATGAAACTGTTCTGACTGCTTTATTCTTGTTTATTACTTAAGAAAACTTTCATGTAGAGTATTTCTGTTTTATAGAAAACAAAGAGCACAGCTTTACGTCCCCCGGTAGTACAGACAGATAATCCTAGATTTACCAAGTAAGAAAAGAAGTGCATTGCTTGTCTTTTATTTGCATTTATTAATCACGCAATGCAATTGTTGCCGAATGACTCATAGTTTAAGATTCTATTGCAGCTTCTCTGAAAACCTATAGGAGATGTTATTAAGTTTTGGATCTTTCAATAAAACCATAGGTATGTGTATGGGTACAGGAATTGGAAAAAAAATGGAAAAATTGTGTCTGACATGTAGTTTGCAATAGAAGTTACGGCAGTGAAAATGCAAGCTCAAGTGCATAGACAATAGATGCCAGTCATGCAGGCTGTGGTTCCCTAATCATTTTTTAATAGACTTAGTCTCCTGCTTTGGTACCAGTTCTGAGCGAACAGCTTAGGGAAGCCAATTCATGCACTCTTCTGCTGAATTACCTCCAAAAGGGCCTTGTTTTTTCTCCCACGTAAATCTGAGCAAATAGATTAGTATGCACCTGCAAGGAGGTTTTTAAAAGTTCACTCAGCTTGAGCAAAATTGAATTTGTAGGATGGATACAATTGTATAAGACTGTCTCCTCTGGCTGGATCAAAATTAGTCCTTTGTGTTTGCTTTGTCTCCGCAATCACACACGAATGCCTCAGAATCATGTTCAGGGGATTATTTAAAAGCAAGGAATATTCAATTACAATTGGACTTTGTTTGCACACATGATATGTAGTAATACACCCCCAGAGGAGGTCACTCAATGTAAACAGTGAAAGGGGAGTAAAGGCAAATTCATTCACCCGTCAATGTTTGGTTTTTCTTTTTTTTTCTATTAGAGATTAAAAAAAATAATTCAACCTCTAGTAGACAGACAGTGCAACTTTTATTTAATGTAATTGTTCTATTATCTATTCACCTTTACTGCCCCAGTAGCTTTTTAATAATAATTGCATAAAACCAAATGGAAATAGGTGAGAATGTTTCGCCGGGAAGATACGAGGGTTAATTTAAAATAAATGAAGCTTGTTTCTGGTGAAAAGAAATTCAGTTTTACTACGGAATGTGGGGACGTCAGAGACATTACGTTCAATTCATAATCGCCTCGTGAAGTGAGATTTAACTATGCTAATTAATCTCAACATAATCGCTAAAAGGCTTGGTTATTAAACAACCAATGTGCAGAACGCACCCAAAAAGAAATATCAAAGCTGGCCTTTTTATTGTTCTTCTAGTGACACACAAAGTGACACTAGGGATCTATGGGAGAGGCGCTTGTTACTTCTTGATAACCTTGGGTTTTGTCACAAAAAAAATATAAAAAAAATCCAAAGAAAATCAGAAGAGCCTTAGAATATACACCTGTTACGTCTAAGAGCCCCAAGGCTTTTCGAACTGCGTTCTAGGTCGGAAGCAGGAGCTTTTGCTGCAACAAACTGAGGGATGCTCTCCACTCTCGTTAAAATTAACATTGAAATCATCATTTCCCCGGGCAGCGAGCCACTCGGACGAAGGTTCGGAAGTGGAGTCTGAGCCCGACTTGCCTCTTAAACGAAAGCAGCGGCGGAGCCGAACCACCTTCACGGCCGAGCAGCTGGAGGAACTGGAGCGGGCGTTCGAGAGAACCCACTACCCCGACATCTACACGCGGGAAGAGCTGGCCCAAAGAGCAAAGCTCACGGAGGCACGGGTGCAGGTTAGTTTTCCCGTCCTCCCTCGGGGGCACAGAGGAAGGACAATTAATTAGGGGGCCTTCCTAATCCCGTCGAGATTGGGGTTTATGCTTCCTTTTTCGTTCAACAACATGTATTTATGCTCGAGCGTATGTGAGAAAATGAAAACGGTATGAAAAGGTCACGAGTAGTACCCACTGCTCTGAAACCCAATTTGTCTACTCAATTAATTTGCGGAGTGTCAAGGCTTTGGAAAATGTGTCAGTAGAAGTATCACTTAATTACAGATTTACTGTGGATTTTCCACAAATGCCGCCTGACTTGGATAAGAAATATACATTGCATTTATATTTACTTACGATGTTTGAATTACAATTTTTATGTTACTTTTGTAAAAAGTGTAAATGTGCTGTGATATTGTTTGATTTTATACCTGGATATATAGCACAGCACTCTTTTGGAGTTTATTAGAAGTTTATTATACTGCATAAAGTCAGCGTTTAGTAACAAAGTAAAAACTTTCTTAATTTTTCCTTTCTTACTAAGAGAAAATGCAATTGGTAAAAACAACAGTTTAATTATGTCAATATGGATGCATATCTAATTGGCTAAAATTGTCTGATGCTCTGTAGCTAAAATATTACCAGAAACTACTTTCGGACAGGCCAATTTCAAATGTCCAATTCAGCATGATCATTATTTCCCATCAAACATGATGATTTGAGTTAAAAGTGTGGTGAATACCTTTAGTACATGTGATCCAGGTACATTACATATGACATGAAGCTTGGTTTAGGTGCTCAGGGTAAAGGTTTAAGATGCTTTTATTTTGCTGAGCTTGTGACCCATATTGTTAGTAGAAGCAGCAGCCCCATTAACAAAACAGCTGCCATAGTGTAGCTTTAACCCTGTGACTTCCCTGCATTCCTCCCAGCCTCTTCTGCTCCCATGAGTCCTATCATCTCCCACAGCCTGGCTCTGATGTGCTGCCTAGAAAATTCTCCACAACAACTAACATATGGATATTTTACTGAGCCCAGCATGAGGCACCAAATACCAGTGAATCAGTCACAAATACAACAGGCCCAAAGAGCTGCATCTCAACAAACCTTCAGAAAGAGTTAATGATTACATCTTGACTGTATATATTTAATTTATAGAATATATATCATATACTCAGCTTGGAAGTGTTCTCATGCATATAAAGCATTGTTTTTAAATTTCCTGTTTTATAAAGTGTTTTAAAGTCCAGATAATGCCAATACAAAAGACAGAATTTGATTTCTTGTCTCCTGAGGTAATTTTGCTTTTGACATGTGATGTATTTCACAAAGCAGTAACATAATTGCTGATGCTTACCAGACACAGCCTTACAGATTTGTATCTAATTAGCCTAAAGTAACAGAGATTGTTGCATACAATCATTTGACTCGTGATCTCTTCATTTCCTGGCTGTTAGGATGCCAACAGATAGGAGCTGAGATGTACAGTAGTACAGTAGTAACATATCAAGAACATAACCCTTTTGTTAATTTCCAGATAAAGGCATGTTTTTTTTTGTCATGTTATACAAAACAGACTTAAATTCTTAAAGACATTAGCTTTCAAAATGGTCTGTCACAATATCCAAAGAACATATCTTTGTTTTTTCTATCAAGTCAGAACTACACACTAAAACCTTGTTAGTCCTGTGTTATTTGTGCTCATGAACCTGGTGTCCGTGACGCTGAGACTCTTGTCTGTTTTGCTAGGTGTGGTTCAGTAACAGAAGAGCAAGATGGCGGAAGCAAGCAGGAGCCAATCAGCTAATGGCTTTTAATCACTTGATCCCTGGGGGTTTCCCCCCAGCAACAATGCCAACCTTGCCACCCTACCAGCTGTCCGACAGTCCCTATCCCCCTACATCCATCTCACAAGGTACACCAGCTACTGTAGGTCGTTTTGAAACTCTGGGACTCTGAGAAACTTGGACGAACTAATTTAGATGCCAAGGGAACACGTTGTAAAAATACCAGAACAGTAATGGATGTTTACAGCTTCATTATATCACTTGAAGAGAAAATGTTGCACAAAATGAGAGAGCACTGTCCTGGTTTGTCCAGGACAGACCTATTGGATCATTTGCTATCTATGTGAAAACACCACGACTATTTTACAGTATAATGTCTTGCGTGTTCCTACTTTGCCAGTTTTCCGTACAGCAGCATAGCCAGCAACTGTGAAATTCTTTTTCAGAGAAACAGTTTCTCTTATGAGATCATTCATGGACCTTCATAAGAATAATGGAAGTGGACTATATTGGAACCTCCTGGAGTTTAGTTTGAGTAGGAAAGTTCACACCTGAATACTTCTATGAATGAATGTTCTAATTGAATTATCCTTCTCCTGGTGGCTGTATTTTGAACTTGATTTTGTTTGCAATGTGTGTGTTTCCAGCAGTGTCTGAGCAGAGCAGTACTGTGCACAGGCCTCAGCCCCTGCCTCCCACCTCCGTTCACCAGGGCAGCCTGAACCCAGCCCCCGAGAGCAGCTCGGCCTACTGCCTGCCCTCCAGTCGCCATGGCTTCTCGGGCTACACAGACAGCTTTGTGACTCCGTCAGGACCCTCCAACCCCATGAACCCCACCATCAGCAATGGCCTTTCACCTCAGGTCAGGCCCTTTCCTTGCAAACAGAACTTTCACTGTGTCTGGGAGACTCCAGCGCTGTTTCACCTGGGGCTAATTCGCTTACATGCGTCGCCCAGTGACAGACCACAGCATTCGGTTCATCAGTGCTCATGTGACCCAGACACACTGTGGGTTTTCTTTCCTTCAGTGTCTCAGGAACTTGCTAAAAAATCTTATTCAACCAGACTTTAGCGACGTATTTGCTCTAAAGAGGCATATTTCTCTGCTAAATTCGTTCGGCCTGAGTTTCCTGTCTTCTCCTTAAATAATCAATTAATTGCCAGTGGATAAACAGTATTATTAATTTATTATAAGTATTTATAATAAATATTAACTTACTAATACTAATTTAAATAATACATATTTAACAGTATGTATATATTGTTAGACATGTTGAAATATATTAAAATTCGAGTCTACTGCATTAATGTCCACAAAGACCTTGTTACATTCCGATTTCCTCAGTATTCATTTCTGAGAAATAAAATGGCAGAACTGATAAATAGCTACATTTACAAAAAAATATGTATTCGTCAGAAGCATTGAAATTTTCCTATCAGGGTTTTTTTTCCCAGGATCCATTTTTGTTATTACTTTTGTGCTTGAGGATTATTGTATATATCTTCCTGGCCAAACAAAAACAAATTTAATTTAAAAAAAAACATGCACATACTGTGTCTTGCATTCTCTGTGAGATAAAGATTCAGAATTTGCGAGGAAGTGCTAGCATAAGGAAAATTAAATATATGATTTTCCTGAAGAGTGATGTTGGAAACAGGAGCTTAATTTCCACAAATCCCAGCAGATGTTTGAAGATGACACTGTATAGCCGCTATTAGCATTTTTAAGTTGGCATGAACTTGGCACAGGTGTTTTTTTTAGAGATCTTCAGTTTGCTTTTAAGCTATGTCAAGAGGTCAATAAAATCTATAATTAAAATCGCAAGTTAATAAAGGGTTAAGGGCAATATGTCTTACAGCTCTATTTATTCCCTTAAAAAGTATTTTCTGTTGGAGGATACAGAGGCAAGCAGAGAATGACACAAATGAAAACTGAAAAGACAATTATAGTCAATTACACACTTATCATTGGCTATCACCACTACCTAAACAGTAAGGGGTATTTTAATAGGCAGAAAATGAGATTTTAATGGCACAAAGGATGGCCAGAATAACTGCTCTCGTTGGTGGGCTTTCTTCATTTTCCGAAGCTGGCAAGTTTCATGTTGTAGGTACTATCTCTGGTTTCTGCACAGTGGTGATAACTCCACAGAATGTTTTATGTTTTAAACATTGTCAGTAAGACATATTCTTCCAGTAAAAGAAAATGGCTGTAATTTGTTTTTACTTGTCCCCCATAAAAAAGTGAAAGTTGATTGATTTTGGCTACAAAGAGAAGAAGATGCTTGACTTCAAACTAAAAAATATTGCTTTTTTGTTCACTTAATTAGTTTGTTACATTTAATGAAATCTTTTATACTGTATATACTTATTAGAAGAAATTGCTACCTTGATTGAAATTGGAGAAAGCTCAAATTGACTACAATTGTTTGCAACTTCTTTTTTTTTTCTGTGCACAAAAACACAAACATTTCAGTGGTCTTCCTCCTTGAGTGGGATCAGGTCATGTTTTTACAAACCTTTAAACTATTGCTTGAACAGACAAAATGGCTTGTTTGTTTTCTTGAGATTAAACACTTGGAGGAGTCTGACAAGATGTTGTCTGCTGATCTAATTTTGAGGCGAAGGATGGGTCATCTGTCAGCTCTGCTTTTACCATTAACACCTTTTGCTGTCTACAGAAATGCCTTTGCTTTATGGATGGACTTCTGCAGTCATTCCTGGTTCTAAATGGGAAGAACTATCCTACTGGGCAGATCAGAACATTTGTATTGTAGATTCAAAATTATGCAGAGGTTTAGGGCTAAAGTGATTGCTGTTGAATAGGCTATCCTTAAAAATGTATGATAATTGGGTGTGTAATTTATGCAAATTACTTATTTTGTTCAGTTTAATTTTATGCCCAGTTCCATGCCCAGTGTGGAACATTTTATTGTTCAAAGTATATATTTAAATGAGCTGATTTCCATTTTGGATAGGATAGCGAGTATTTCTAAATGTTTTTCATCTTTATAAAAATTCAAAGTGTCTCACTTTGTATATTAAAAAAATAAATACATGTTTTAATGAGAAAGCTACTGATCCAGATCCTAAACCTGCAAAATAATCCATATTAGTTTACAAAATCACTGATTACCTTCTCTGTTACTGTTAATACTAATGTAACTAAAATGTTATAGATACTTGTATTTTTTGAGACCTGCCTGTTGAGAACTAGAGTTTGATTTGATATATGTCATATTGTGGAAGAAACACAATTTATGAAGCAATTCATTTTGGGTAGACTTAAGGGCCCCTGTATTTTTATAAAGGTTTGCATGTTTACGTAAGCTTGTAGTTGTCCTCACTCTTTAGTCATCTCTTGTACAGCTTAACCGTACCTTGCATTTGTTCCAGCACAGACGTGTGATACATGTGGCTGTTCCATGGTGCTAGTTTTCTTGTTATGCTAATAATCTCATAGAGAAACCAAACTGGAGAGATGTAACACTGTATTTGTCTGGGCCATTGGTAGTTTTGTTTATATCAAGTTCTGTTTTTCTTACACTGTCCAGAAGATCTGTTAAAGGGAACCCTCTGCCATCCTCCAAATTGCTCCTAACTCTGTTCTCTTTCTGACGAATGGGGTCCCTGACCCACATGTGTTTCACATTTGTAAGGAACACAACATGGCCCTCTTCAGGGGCATTTGTCAAGATTCATCTGACAGAGCTTCTGTAAATTATCCCCAGTCAGCTTGCAGCTCCTAGGTGGGAGCACCTCCTCTAGCCTCTGGCGAATCCTTTAACTTGCATAACCAGCTGCCAGTGTGATATCAAAATCTGACTGCAAGCTTTAACCTCACACATTACTGGACGGCCCTTGCAATGCCTGTGAAGGACCAGACAGTATTATAAACCTTCCCAGGCATTATAAGATTATTTTATATTTATTTGTTTGCTTATCAGACACGCTTGTCCTAGGTTTGCTTCAATTAAAATAAAAACCCCAACGTGTTCTGCATTGAAAATATGGTATAAACTTAATAACTATCCTTAGGAAATCACTGTTTTCTCTCTGTGTCAGCTCCTGCCCACTCTCTATACTGCTGCCAGCACGTTACATTCTTTGCATTTTCTTTCATAATGGTTGGCTCATTAACAGCAAAACATATCTTGTGCTGAGGGGAAAAAAATGCTTTTAAAAGTTTGTCATCAGTCTACAAATGCAGTACTTTACTTTTCTAATAGAGGACCTGTGGTGAGTTTCAAACACAGATCGATTTTTTTAGGAAAATTTTACTGCGTCAAGAAACACAACATTAGCCACTCTGTCCTTAGGTTGGGAAATGATTTAACTGAAACCATGTGTCTGGATAAACGTAGAATAATATGTCACTTATAAGCAAACCAAGAGAGCAGTGATTTCGATGTACCTGCTTTTGATTAAGTATTAAGAGAGGAAAGTATGTTTTGTGGGAATTGATGCATTTAAGGTACTGGTAGTTTTAGGTTCACCGTGATTTCTATAAAAACAACATGATTTAAAGAAATGCTCTGTACAGTGCTGAAGATTTTTTTTGCAGATAAATTTAATGAATTTCTATGTACATGAGAGGGTCATTTTAAGTCTGTTTACTGACACCAATGGCCTGAGGTCTCTTTCCTGCTCCAAGCGCCAAACAAAAATTCCCTAAATTTGATTATCGTGCCACTAATCAACTGCAGGTCAATCCCTTACAAACGTTTTATCAGCACAAAAGCCTCATGGAATATGTTTTTATTATTAATAATATATCTTTCATGGTAACCCTTTATTGGAGTGAAGCAGTCAAAATTTTTAGAGATCTGATAGGAGAGTCCTACAAGTTTATACAATTTGTGACATTTTGTGTTGCTAAAGCAAATTGCACAGTTTTATTTCTATTTTCAACATTTACTTAAATGGATATTGATTTGATATTTGCTAACATTATTTATTAGAGCATTTGGTTGATGATTGCTGGAAAGGAACATTTGATTTTTTGTAATTAAATGGAAACAAAGCATTTCCTCATCCAGTGATTATGAAACATTAAAAATACATTCAGTTGTACCTGGGATTTATTTGACTTATTTTAGTTATACTGCATACACATATAAATATAATGCATCACTTAGTAGGAAAACAATGTTAGACGTTTTCCTGTTAAGATTAAAACTAAGAATCATGAATGAAAATTGCCAGTGCAACTTAATAACCCAAGAACACCTTATTGAAAACACAGGGATATACTTTAGTAAACATTCACTTGCTTTCTCCCACCTTTCATCTAATAAAATTTCTCAGCAGAAGAGTGACCAGAAAAAAATAATCATTTGTCCCGTCATAGTGGGGAATCTTTCCTCTGCTGCCCGTTTGTGTGGTAGTTTTTGAAATAAATGGCTGTTTTTGTTTGTCTCTCATGTGAGTGCATTATGGCTTTTCCTTTAGAACTGATATTTGTCATGTGTGTCTGCTGGTTGTGGGAGAAGCAGTCACTGAGTTTTGAAGGGCTTTGGACCAGCTCAGTGAACTTTTTTCTCTTTATGTTCCGATTTGTTTGCTGTTGGTGTATATGTAGACAGGCGGTTAAAGGTATTTTCTCTCTTCTGTCCTTGTGTAGGTAATGGGACTTTTAAACCCTGGTGGTGTTCCTCATCAACCCCAGAGTGACTACGCCATCTCTCCTCTTACTGGCGGGCTGGAGCCCAGCACTGCAATGTCTGCCAGCTGTAGTCAAAGACTGGACCACATGAAGACTCTGGACAGTCTTCCCAGCTCCCAGTCATACTGCCCTCCAACCTACAGCTCATCAGGATACAGCGTGGACCCAGTTGCCAGCTATCAGTATGGGCAATACGGCCAAAGTAAGGTCAATACCCCTTTTGCTTATTAACAATGTGTTTAGTCTAATGCATGATTTCAGTCTAAGCCATAATACTGTTATGGACTGGAAAAGAATGATATTGGAGCAATTAAAATGGACTTACACTGTAAGGAAAAATAGGAAAAATAAACTTTACAAATTAACATAATGTCTAAAATACAAAGAAAAACCTTTTTTTTCTGATTGCAGTGTATACATCTAGATCAGGTGTTACATGTGCATAGCAGAAACCTTGTGTAAATATGTTATTCATTAGGATGGACTGTAAAAGGAAAGTATTTAATGTTCCTGGGTTCATGCAAATTTCTTAATATAAGGGTAAAAATTCAAAAATAACATTTATTTTGAACCATGATCTTTTGAAGTAGGGATTTGAAACATGATTCAAAACAGGTGTTTATTATATATAATTTTTTTTGGTTTGACAGACTTGTTTTCAATGCCCTACTGTGACATAATTACGATTGTCCACTTACCCAAAGCTGCCCTCAATGTCCATACATATCGGTTCTTGATATTTGTTATTTTAGAAATAAAATAAGCCCAGGCAAAGTTGCTGAATTTCAATAAAGTTTATATCAAAGCTCAGACATTGGAATATCAGCAAAACCCCATTTGAAAACATTACTTTGCAATTAGGACTTTATAGATTAGAATTTTTACCAGTGCATGGAAATTCAGTGTCTGTATTAATCTGGTCTGAGTTTCTAAGTAGAGTCTGTTTTATAAGATTTGGCACAATCATCTAGCCAAGAAACAACTATAAGTAATGGATATATTCTTGGCTATCAAAAAATTAAATATTGTGGAGAGCATTTGACAGAGTGGGATATATAATCATTGTCTAATGTGCTGTCAACAACATCTTGATGTTATTAATTGCTGAGACCTGATATGCACGTGCCATTTATGTAGAAGTGAAGGTTTGTAAAAAATTAAATCACCCCTGGCATGCCGATATTGAAAACATGTGTTTCAACCAAAGGTCAACTCAAGATTCATTATTGATTGTTGTCCCAGATTCACGTTGCATTGTCAAGCTTGTCCTAATAGTATAAACATTAGCTTTAAATCTTTGGTTTGCTCCAATTAGATATGACAATATCGTAAATGTACTAGAATCGACACGACCCCTTGCTGAGATGCTGTCATAACCTTATTTATGAAATAGCCTTTCTCTCTGTATTTTACAGGTGCCTTTCATTATTTGAAGCCCGATATTGCATGAACTGAAGTGTCTACTGAAAGCTTCTAGTTAACCCTCAAATTTCCCTTGCTCCAAAACCTTGGGAAGGGGGTTGTGCTCCAGTCTGCTACAAGAAGGGTTTATTCAGATAATCAGGACCAAAAGGACTGCCTCTCAAATTACCTGGCATCTGACTCATTAATTTCACATCATGCTTTGAAAATGAAGCCAGTTTCATGCAAAAAAAGAAGAAAAAAATATATTCTGCATTTTATTTCTAATGAATGGCAGAAAGACCATTAAAAACAGACTTCACCAACAAGTTATTTTGCTTTCAAGGCAACACAGATGGAATTTGGCATGGGACAATCCTGAAGTGAGTCTGGACAGCTAAACTAGGAGCAACTGTCTATCTGAACAGTAAAACATGAGATCTAGTCTGTGTGGATGAGCAGAACTCTAACAGAGCCTTCTTCTGTGTTGTAAGCACTACTTCTTTGGTTTATGGTCATTTTGGTGGATGGGATCTGTATTCATTGCAGATAGAAATCTGATCTTTTTAAAGGACACGTATAAGGTTTCTTTGAAATGGGTGATCAAACATTAATCAATCAAATTTTACTTGCCTAGAGCCTTTTGATTTTGAGCTTCATCTCAGACCTCTTTGTAAAGTCAGGTACACTAGGAGCCTACTACAAACATGACACAGAAAGTGCACGCTTTGCAGAACAAAAATACCATTATCTGAAAATAAATGGAATTTGCATACAAGCATTGTACGCATATAGTATTTTCATAAGGTTTGTGGAAATTACAAGGAGCTGGAAAATCCTAAGCAATGTCAGGAGAGAGTGAACAGGAAACTGACAACAATCAGCGATTAGGACCTGAATATGAAAAGAAATGTCATAATGACAATTTAGACAACAGTCAGAATGACATTTTTGACAACAGGTTAAGGGATAGCCAGAAAGAAAATGTTTAGATCTGAACAAGAAAGGTGTAGAAATCAACATTTAAATAGCTTACAACCATTCTGAAAAATTGAGGGGACTGGAATTTGCCTGTGTGCGCCACCAGTCCTAGTAAACTTTCAAAGAATATGTGGAAGACCAATGTACAGTATATAGCGGATTACAAACTGCCTAAGTGCAATATTAAGTACCTCAGAATTTTAAAAGAAAAAAGTGGACCTATGAATACGTCTTATATAGTGTCAAAAATGTATTTTTACATTACCATCTTTATTTTTGTATTAAAATGGACCTTCGACATGTCTGGTTGTGTGTATTCCAAACTCCGGAGGATGCAATCACTTCTGATTTATTGTGTAAATCGCTGATGTTTTTTACACACGTAAGGTGCTGGAACAGCTAACGCATTGTTTTTCCTTTGCAAAATAAAAAAACAGGATTGACGATTTTTTCTTTCTGTGACATGGACACCTACGAAGGGCAAATTGTTTTCATGAAGTGGTGTATCACCCCAGTCAGTACTTCTGTGTAAATAAAACCAGCAAACAAAAACAGGACTGCAACTACTAAGTTGCAGTGTTATTTATTCTTCTGTACCACTTAGCTGGTGTTTAGTACGTATAGTTCTTGTCTCAGATGTAGCACTCTACAGTAGATTGTACATTTGTCTTAATGGTGGAGGAAACTGAAATAAAACGTTTTTTTTATTTTGAGTACCCTTTGTTTTATGGCTGCACAGAATGATTGTAATGTAAAATGTCTTGTGTACAAATGCAGTAATATTTACTATTTATAATAAAAAATAAAAAATAAAACGAGAAGCTTGGGATCTTATTTGAATTTCAGGATATGAATACATTAAACTGCCATAAGACAACACAGAAGTATAGGACTTGTTCAAATGAGATTGCATAATGTTCAATAAAGAAAAAAACTGTTATACATTCTAGTCTGTATTTTGCTGCCTGCTCCTATCCCTACAACATTCCAGTTCACTTTTTAAAAAGTATTTAAAATATATCAAATTCAATACTGGCATGACAGGTATGTCCTGGACAAATATTTGGACAGAGCACCTACTAGAGGACATAGGTGTAACTGTTCCACTTTTCCCAAGGAAAACAGAAGTGAACAACTACAAAAGAATAAGACAGATCTTAAGCTGAATGCAGTATAACAAGATCAGAACAGCTTCATACTGAGAGGAGACTGTTTTAATAAACGAATTAAAGAAAATCGGGGAGAGAGAAACCGATTTATAGAATGGGGAAAAAAAAAGAATTGAGTTAAATTTCCAGTTCAGGAAAAATAATAAAATGAATTGCAAGCATAGGGAAAAGGGACTGAAGACTGAAAGAGAGAGAGAAGAGAATATTACAATGGAAGCTACAATAAATTCTAGAAGCCTAACAGCAAATGACAAAAAAGGGTGAAAGCGACTCAGAGGCAATAATGGGAAACTTTCAGATGATGAGAGAAATATGTCTTATGTATTAGCTGATTAATTCACTCCGATTTTTTATCAAGGAAGACATCAAGCCTCAGAAAAAAGACCAAGTTCTATATTGTATCATATCGGTGTATAAGAGGCAGAATTATTACAGACATAGTGATAGAAGCACTTAAGATTAAAACAAATTGCTAGGGCCCTGTGATATTTTTCAGATTTTACTTAAAGAAACAAGAGATGTTGTTCAAAAGACATTAACAAAACTAATACCCATTGCTGGGGAAATTGCTAATGTAAATGCCATCCATAAAAAGGCCTTACTTCTACTACGTGTAAGATGTTACGTGTCTAGAAACAATAATTACAGCTAAAATATAGAATAATCTGTATGGCAACAGGATAGTAATGTAAGTAAGGTAGATCTCCATTACCTTACCTGTAAGTGTGCTTTGAACCAGGAGTTCAAAGAGCATATGATATAATTTTTAGAAGGCTATTAATAAAGTTCTTCATAAAATATTAATTCCCAAATTGCAGGGAGCATGCATTCAGGGTAATGCATGTACCATATTTGATGTATTTGGATTGATTACTGCTTAATGGTTAATATAAGACACAATGCAGTGCTCAGATTGGGGCCATGTATACAGGGAGGCTTTAAAAGCGTAGTATTTGCTACCGGTTCTAATGCACATCTGTTGATTTTTAATGCCTTCCAGTTGAGTTAGTGGTGTACCATAGGATCTGTTTTAGTACCACAATTCCTCGTTTATATCAAAGATCTCGATCAGTTACAGTTTGTAGATCTGATGGTCTATAGAAACAGAAGGATTAGCAAACTCAGTAGGAAAGGCAAACAAAATTCAAGAGCAAGGGCAGAGTGTTACATGCAGGTAGCAGAAACAAGAGCTTTCAATATAAAAAAACCTGAACAAGTTACTTTTGAAATTATTTACATGTTCTGGACAATGTGGGGAAGAAACAGAAAAAGGCAAACAGAATATTAGGATATTTAGTTGAAAGAGTAGATTTGGAATCAAGAGATACAATGTTATAATTGTTCAATGTACTACGGAGATCTCATTTTGGATATTATGTCAGAGTTTGGTCAACATGTTACAAAAAATAGCTTGCTTCTCTGGAGTCCATCCAGAAAAGAGTGACACAATCTCCAGGCTTAGAGAAGCGTCCTACTCTGACAGATTCAAGAGGAAAACACAATCTAGAGGACATCAGTGGAAACTCCAGGGAAGTGTTTTTAAAACTGAAAACTAGGTTGTGGAAGTTGGCAATAAGTTATCCGACAAGGCTGGTAAAGTAAATATCCTGGCTTTTTTCAAAACATGGCTACAGGATCCTTGAATCAATTAGTAGTAGACAAAGATCTACAGAACCAGTCGTAAAGGCCCTAATGTCTGAATCCTTTCTTTCTATTCTCATCCTTTTAAAACATGGAAAAGCATATTTTGTGAATCAAACACTTACACGTTTTATTCCAGTTTAATATGGATTTTTACATAAAAGTTTAATATACTTATATCTAAATGTTAGTTTTCATGCATTTATGTTCAAGTGAGTGCAAAATGCTGATCATTAGTGTGTTTAATTCGACAGGCTTTCTGTACTAATACAGAACAGAAGAATGTAACTGAAAAAGTGATGTGTTATATTTTGTTTTGTGTAAGATAAATTAGTGCTGGTTTAAAGTGAAGCAGTCTCCATTAACCAGTCTCTTCAAGAAACAATAAAGTATCTGATAAGGGCAGAGCAGAGCTCGACATCTGCTGTGACTATTAATACCAACTATGCACAACGGATAACAAATTCACTTTTGTTACAAACACAGCATTGCAAAAAAAAAATAACCAAGAGCATTTTTAAAAACATGCACAACATTAAAAAAAACAGAAGGCTCTACTGTATGATTTTAACATTTCCCAGAGGACATTAACCCTGATTAAAAATCACTCCAAAGGCAAATGTCTGAATTTAGATAGTCTGCTACAAAACACTTGGATAGCCTCTGCCTTTCAATGTTTCAAAAAGATCATATTTATTGTAAGGCATTTAATAATTGTATTTTATCGATCAAATCTTCTTTATAACCTTACAACCAACCTGAGAAATAGGTACATCTTTGAAAGTGTATTTCTTAGTCATCAGGACTCCACTAGGATTAATATACAGTACTAGCCAAGATCCCAGTTAGATTTTATCAAATGGAGATCTGTGACTTCACTGTGAGAATGAGATTAAGCAGGGAAATAATGGGCACATAAAATCCAAAGACACTTTATATTACTGTAACTTACACAATCACTGAACATAAAAAATGCATCTACATGTATATGTATTTGATCTAATTAACACTGGCTTCTACATTTCACGAAAACACACATAGACTAATCTTTCATCTTTTTGCCAGTCCCTAATGACAAAAACAGGCAGGTTTAAGTGATATAAATTTACCACAATAAATACACCAGCATTAGTCATCACAAAATCAGTTCAAGGGTCATGTTTAAAACACAGCATTGAACTGGAAAGATATCAGCACTTTAAAATCATGCTACATCAAAGATACAATATTTTTTTTGGAGTCTCTTGTACTCAAGATCACAGAAACAGCTGCTTCTGTCATTCTAAGCGCAGGTTTTGTCCAAGCAAGATAAGATTTCACTTTTCAGTACCAACAACTCACTTTACAAGTACTTAACCTGTAAAACACAATAGCAGTGTACTGGGAAATACTTTGCCTTTGGCATGCCACTGGGCATGACCTATGTCCACACACATTGGAGACAACTTAACCTTTGGCCCCTCTCTTTGAAAGAATCAGCCACTTGACTTAGTTGACAATCCAGGAATTACTAGTACTACTTCACTTGCAAAACCAAACTCAAAACCCTCATGTAGAAAAGAAAACAAAAAGTTTATTGTTGCTCTTATTTTAAAGAATCTAACCCACACGCAGAAACGACTATTACAGTAATCACACCATCATGTGAATAATAATTTCTTTAAAAATACTTATTAAAACTAAAACATACTTTTTTAAATCCTTGTCGACTCCTTTAGAAGAATATTTGAGAGGTGTAAATTACCTTAAAAGATAAATTATTCCAAGTAGTAAAATCTATAGTATTATTTTACAGTGGCATTTTCGAAAACTGCGCACTGTTCTAAGCTGACAAACTTTCAAAGGTGTTGAGTGTTAATTTCCTTTCTGGGACTGTGGAGCCCAGGAGAGCTCAGAAGATGGAGTGTTTACTGTGCCAGTGTATGTGAACTATGCTCTATTATCAGTAGACTTGCAGTACCAAACGTCAGTGATGTGCATTCCTTACCAAATGTAGATTGAAGCTAATTGCTCTCACCACATTCATTCCTACCACAAAAAAGAACACCAGCACTGTCAAGATGAATAACACTGTACTACTTTCTCTAATATGCAGAAAGGCAATTTCAGAAGAACTTGAGTCGAAAATTAAGTTTGACAATGCAGGCGGACAGAATGACAGTACTTCATCAATGAAGTCAGTCCACAAACCGTATGACAATGCTTACTTCTACGTTCTGTTTGTTATGTTCTTTTACTCTTTCTTGGCCTTGGCAGTGTTTTATGGGTATGTGCGCTCTAAGAGTGAAAAATCCAAAAAAGATCCTTATGAGGAATTTATGGACACAGAATCATCAACCAAGAAATTTAATCCAGCCTCCTCGGCTGAAAAGTTTGACTTTGAAGAGGAGAGCATTGCCTGAACTCTCAAAATGTTTTGACAGTCATGGAGCCAAGAAAATATCAATATTTGAGTGGAGGTCCTGGTAGTTATTTTCCATACCCAAAGATTCTAACCTAAAGGGAATTCTAACAAAAGGAAAGTATTTCAGATGATGTTGGTGTATTACAAGAAACAGCATGGACTGCCCAGTTTTAAAAAAAATAACTGCGAAACATACATGGGTAATTTAATATTCCGCATTACTACTTTATGAAATTTAACCGTAAAACTCCTCTATCATGGAATTTCTAAAGAACTGAGGAAGAAGAACATGCTTCATCTGCTTTCATTCAGCTTGACAGCTTGTCTCTTTTTGGAAGATTCTTTTTCTGAATCAGAACATGCCTCACCAGCAAACTCTGGGAAGCCCATGGACATTTTTATACCAATATCGCAGCGATTTGTTTTATATGTGATAGATATATATGCTACAAGGCAGGCATCTATGAATATATATACCTTTTTATAAATAGCTGCCTCTCTACAAGGTTTTCTGAGACTGTAGTTTAAAAATGGAAATTTTCAATATGCTTCAGTTTGCCATATGATCTCACAAAACAAACAAAATCTGAAGACTTATTTT